ATTACATATGTCATTCATGAAACTAAATGGTGTAAAAAAGTATTACATCACTTAAACCGAACAGCTTAATAATTACTACAGCTCTATTTTATTATGAGGTAATAACTATTACATGATAGAACAAAAAAAATCAAACCGGATGTAAATGCAACCTTACAACAAGTGCCCTTTTTTCTTTGTTTTTGGTGAAGAGAAAAGGACCACCTACTGCAGCGGTCAAAAAGAATGATTTCCTGTCCTCAAGCCATCCATCGCCAATTTCGCTTTTGCTCGGCTCATTGAATGGAGATAATTGTGTGACGTCTTCCTTTGCATCCACAAATGGGTTTATAATCATGAATGAGAAGACTTCAAAGAAATTTTCTCTACTCTCACTCACAAAAGAACATCTTAATAACAAACTGATAGTGGATGAAAATGCACATTTATATATACTTTTTTTTTATAATTCAAAGCACAAGCGCAAAGGTCCGGCTACCTAAGGATCCATGGAGCACCTTGGAAGCTGCATGAAATGGTTAAGTTCGAGCCTTTGGCCTGTACAGTGTCCTTACAAGAGCAGTTTGCATGCAGGTGGGAATTGGACAAATGATTTTCAGTTTTTGAGCTGGAAATCTTCTGAAAGTCACTATCAAACGCGCTATCCGTGGGGGCTTAATATGCACATTTCTCATTCACTATCTCTACGTGCACCATCCTAGAAAATTAAACGATTTATATATCATCTCCTGGCAAAGGAATTTGTATCATGCACATGAATAGACCCATCAGTGCACGGTACAAGATTTTCTGCAGATTGAAATTCAAGATTCCCAGCAACACACGCCATTCCATTTATTACATAATAATGCCTCTAAATCTTGTATTATGCACTGATGGATCTATGCATGTGCATGATACAGGATTATCCTGCAAATTGAAATTCAAGATTCCTAGCAACACACGCCATTACATTTAGTACATAATAATGCCTCTAAATCCCACATGCCTAGCTCCATCCTCTGCAATATTTGTGGAAGGAGAGAGCATGCAAATAACTTACACACGTGTTGGTTCTTTTTTTCTTCACCTAATTATCAGAGTTAGATAAACTTGTAGATAAGGGAAGCACACTAAAACCTCAACCCATATCTCAGGTCATGAAGTCTATGTAAAAACATCATTTAAACAATAGCAGCGTAGGATGCGGTTTCTGCCCGTTAACCCCTTTGTTTTGACCATGCTTCAAGTGCTTTGCCGGACCGCTGGACACCCCGAGCTTGAGGTCCAAACGATCATCCTCTGGTGATACACCTTTTTCTTTGAAGGAGATCGCTGCACTTGAGTGATGAATTGTCTTATCCTCAGTCGAGGATTTGATTTTTGCTGCTGATGGTCGGCGGTGAATGATGCCTTTATTTAGTAGCTTTCGCCGCAGATGAGAGTTCCAATAGTTCTTCACTTCATTATCTGTCCTTCCGGGCAATCTTCCGGCTATGAGAGACCACCTAGAAAGACAGTTTGCGGAGTGATATCACGTTAGATTTTCTATCAACCGATTATTTCGGTGTTGACTCTAGTATGATCAGAGCGAATTTGCTTTTGATTTTCTAGGGTTAATAATCAAAACCAACCTGTTTCCTAGAAGAGCATGGAGCTTGATAATGAGGTCCTCTTCATCCTCACCGAAGTTCCCTCTTTTAAGGTCGGGCCTCAGATAGTTCAGCCATCTTAGCCTACAACTTTTCCCACAACGAAGCAAACCTATTCGAATCAAACCAAGTGTGTCAACACAATTGACGATTGGCATAATTAGCATAAGTATGATTAGGGCTAGTGAGAAAGAAAGCGACTTATCGAGCTTCTCACCGTCGATATCTCCATACGCTCGCAAAATCGTACAAACATGGACGGATTTTTTCGTTTTTGTTTCTTATTCTCGGCTTCTTCTATTCTATTGGAGACAGAAGCTTACCCGCAGCTTTTGGCAGGGAATTCCAGTTACCCTCACCGTGCTTTTGGACGTAGTCGATGAGCTTCTGGTCTTCTTGCTCGGACCAAGCACCTTTGTTGGTCTTTTGCTTGTCACAACAAGGTTTCCTCATGCTCGGGAGAGAGAGAGAGAGAGAGAGAGAGAGAGAGAGAGAGAAGTGGTGGGTGTGTTCTGGTAAAGAGAAAGAAAGCAAGAGGTTAGAGGGAAGCATATGATTTTCAACTGAATAACAGGTGGGGTTGAAAAGGGAGCACAGAACACGAGGCACCAGGAAGTACATGACGTTGCTTTGTCAATTGTAGATTTGGAGATTTTGCAGATATATCAAAGACGAATGGTGGAAAAATCCTTAAAAATACAGAGAGAGAGAGAGAGAGAGAGAGAGAGAGAACAATTTGAGCCCAGTCGATGGTACAATTAATTATATGCACCGCCCTAATCAAGTCCGATTATGCGAGAAAATAGCAGGGCTTTTGGACTGATTAAGTTCTTTTTCCCCAAACTGACAGTATTTTTTAGATACACTCCAATTTTCATGGTTTATATTTGTATAATATTAACTACTGTAAGTACTTATTATATGTTAATTAGTGAGGTTTTTGCACGTAAATGCAATGATCATGCGAGAGAAATTTTGGGGCACTCCAAATTCTTTAATACATTTGATTGATCCTGAAAACAAGAATTTTACCTTCGCAAATCGATTAATGGTACCTAAAGACTTCATCTTTTTACAGGCCAACCGCGTGTAACATAGCCCTAATTAGGATAATTTTTTTTAGTTTGGTCGGAATCGGTAGGATAAATTGTCAAGCCAAAATAACTTGAAAATGCGTTCATTCATCCCATGGAGAAAATTACTTGGGAAAACTTTAGTTTTTTTGGTCGGATAGTTGGGAAAACTTTAATAGCCATTTTTTCTGATGGATTCTTAGTCAATTTCAACTGCTCTTTTGTTGAGTCTTATGCATGGAAAACTTTAATAGTGGATTTGTTTCTGTCTTTTGTGGAATCTTATGCATGGAAAACGTTAAGGATAAAGAGGAGAATCCATAGCAATTGATCTCCTTCGGAATCCTTATGACTTAATTAACCCAACTTTGGAATCCATATGTAAAATCGTAGTTTTGTGTCCCAAATGTTGAAAGACTAAAACTAATTTAAAAGATCCATTTTAATAGAAAAATATACACCGATCATCGAAAAAACAAAATTCAACCGAAAAGTTTATGGGACTTGGGTTGCATGGCATGCTGTGTATTTCTCTCCGTAGCTTCCTCCATAATTCAAAAAATCGTGAAGACCCACAATTACATTTCACAAATACTGTTTGCAATATAAATCCTCTAAAATATATATTCGAATAATTAAATAGATAAAGGAAGAAAAAAAAGAAGAAGGGGTCTTGAAAGATGCATGGATATGACCATGTGCTATCTCCAAAATGAAATCTAACTGCCATTTGTTATTCCAAAACCTAATTATATAGAACGGATTTGTGGACCAATGTCTGTGGAAAATCTTGCGTGACATTTATCACCTTTTCCAAAACTATGGCTTAGCTAGGGCTACATCCTCCATAATTGAAAAACCCTAAAAGCGTCAAGGCAAGAACAACGAAAGTGCATGCGGGTGTCATTGAATGGTAAATTCTAAAAAATCAAGAAACGCGACAATCGCAGGGAAAGGAACATCTGGTGAGGCCCGACGCTTTTTAACCTTGAACGGTAGATAAACATTCCCATTTCCCAAGCGAGGTGGCATTTAATTCCCATATTTCGAACCTACATATAAAAATAATTTTTCATTTTTCGGAGAGAACCGTGGTTGGTCGAAGGTTTCTTCGAACAAATGGAGGGGCACAGAGTCTCTACCGGCTGTCCATTCACGAGTTCCCGAAGTGACATTGACAACTACTGCTGCGCACGAACTGTTCCTAACACCTTCATGTGAAGTAGGAAGCTGTTGCTTTGAACGTTTGGTTGTCGCTAGAACCTTCAAAGTGTCTTTGACCTAATGTAACATTTAGGGTTTCACCAGAATCGTTTTTTTCCCCTCTAATCTTTGAAGTTAAACCCTCGCAACGCTCTGCGAATTTAGTTAATGAGTTCCATCGGAGCATCTTTTTAGCTATTACATATAGAAATGTCTACGTTTTTTAGCACATTACTTCTGCCTGTCAATTAAAATTTCTATTGAATAAGCGATTTGTAGCTTTACCAAATCAATTACAAAGTGATGTAACGCTTCATAAGTACGTAATCAAGCGTCGGTGGGCTCAAGCATCCAACAAGAATCTGCTAAAATCATTTCACTTATGATTTCAACAGACGATGTTTGATATGCCACGAATTGATATTAGCTAGTTTATTAGTCCATTAAAGAGATTGCAGACCTAGATTTTCGTTGCAGTCTTTTTGGCTCGTAAACCCATGACATGATTATTTCTTTACCTCTGTCAGTCTCTCTCTCTCTTTCTCTCTCTGACAATTTTTCCAGCAAACTTCCAGATCTGCCCCTTATCTTCAAAAAGGTTTCGTAGTCATTGTGCCACTTTTGAGGAGCAACTTTCGATAATTTCCTAGGTTGGGTTTTTTTCCAAGATAAGCAAAAGCTGGTCCGACAATTTCCGCCGTGTTTATACAATTGCTTGGAATACGTTGCTCGTTTTTGTTCTTTCTAACTTTGCCCTTTTGTCCGTATGGGAAGCCAGAATATATAGAGGGGAGGAAAATACTTTTTCCGTATCTAAAAACGCAAATGAGATTGAAGAAAACTGAAGGTGAAAGAAATCTCTTGAGCCCTTCACGTATTCTCCAAAAGTGAGGTGAAAATAATAGGATTATACTGAATGTCCAATTAATCTTCCATTCACATTTACAGGTGGATGTTGAATTTTTCAGATTTATTAGGCTTAGGTAATATGCTCTCCTACCCATGTAATGCTTTTCGAATGAACTACTTCCTCTGGATCATAGATCCACCATGACGAGTAAATCTTGGAGACTTACCCTACAAACCCAAGAAAAAGAAGAAAATGGGGTTCCTACATTCTCCATGAACGGTCATCTTCCAATCCATCAATCGAATCGAAGCACTGATGAAACTTTGGTCACTGTACACGTCACTCGTCATGGGACAATATGTCCACGTTTCGATTTGACTAAGGGTCTTCATCTTCAACCGTAACAGTAAGGTGTGACAGTGAGCTATGCTAAAAACTACTTCTACCATGTTTCCACTCGTGCTTGCTGTGAGCGAACTGTTTTGTTAACAAAAGACTCATCAGATGATCTCAAAATGTGCCCAAACAATTTAGCCATCAGCTTACAATAGCCGAAAGATTTGAGAAACTAAGTTGAGTAGACTCGATGTGCGATGACTGTTGTTGCTCTTCGATCGGCGGGGGGCCTATCGTGAGTTCGAGATTCAGGTCGGGCAGGAAGTTGGTATTGCTCTCGGGTTTGCTCGAGCATTGCAGGACAGAACCTACGTCTTCTTCTTCTTCTTCTTCTTCTTCTTCTTCTTCTTCTTCTTCTTCTTCTTCTTCTTCTTCTTCTTCTTCTTCCTGCGAGTTCTTGGATTTGCATGTCGAACTATTGTTCGATCCGAGCGATTTGTTCGGACCAGAGACAGCAGGTCCGGGTCGATGATTGTTTGGATCAATTCCCAACTGCATGAGTTTCTTTCTCAAGTGGGTGTTCCAGTAATTCTTCACTTCATTGTCCGTCCGTCCCGGTAATCTTCCGGCAATGAGGGACCACCTGAGTCGACAGAACATGGTCGTTTCATCGGGATTAGTACGTTTTGTACAACTAGATTGTTCAACAATCAGGACTCCAAGGATTTCATATTTTCCAAAACACAAACGGACAAAATTTTTTGTCAGAGTTAGATATTGTACAATTGACTCCATCCTTGTCCCATCATTTAGTACACATTTAGTAAACAGTTGAATGATTGTTAAACCGAGAATGTGGAAAAAAAGAAAAGCTATAGCTCGATCCTACAGGAGGTCCCAATAAATTGTGCGAGTGTCCTATAAACTACAGTGGTGGGCTAACAGAATGAAGAGCTGAAAGCTTTTGGCTCTCTGTTTGAAAAGGAACACAACACAATGCTCGAGATGATATTGATAGTTGCACCATATGTAGGCCAGTCTACTTTCTTATTAGTCTGCTGAGACGAAACTACTAAAGTTTCTGTTTTGTTCTGCCATTCGAACTATCGATTATTAACTTTCAAAGCGAGCTTCTAATTGTAGCAGTAAATGCCACTTTTGTCTAATCAAATACCGAATAATTATGCTGCCCATCAAACAAAGAATACCAAAGCAAATGTAGAATGAGCGTTTATTTCTTCTCTCTTGAGATATCTCACATTGTTTCTTTTGTTCTGGGGCACTTCCAATGGAAACCAAAAAAAAAAAACAAGAGTTCCTTGTTCCCTCTCATTCTACATATATAAATGTATGATCATGAGCAGTGAAATGACTAAACATGCATGCGAAAAACCTCATTAAGTGCTCGAAGACCGAAGCTGTGTATGAAGAGAAAGTGTCATCTCTCTCTTGTTCTCACCTGTTCCCGAGGAGTGCATGCAGCTTGATGATGAGGTCTTCTTCATCCTCGCCGAAGTTGCCACGTTTAAGGTCTGGTCTCAAGTAGTTGACCCATCTCAGTCGACAGCTCTTCCCACAACGAAGCAAACCTGGCACAACCCAAATGTAAAACCCCCCAAGAAAAGCCAAAAAGAAAACCCTCAACAGCACATTACATGATTTTCAAAAGCTTGACGAATTACTTGCATAAGCTAAGTGCACATGCATTGCAACATTGTACGCGTAGCTTGGGTTTTAGCTGTCTTGCTGCAATTCTTTCACAGGAACATAAATAATTTCTATCGCATTTTGACTTAAATTTCTATGTTTCGCTCGTAACGTAAAGTTTCTGAGCCCGCCACCGGTTCAAAGCAGCGCAGAGTGGAAATAGCAAAAAACGCGTGCGTGTGAAAGTACCTGCAGCTTGAGGGAGAGAGCGCCAGCAACCTTCGCCATGTTTATGGATGTAGTCAACGAGCTTTTGGTCTTCTTGCTTTGTCCACGCTCCTTTGTTCATCGTCCCTTTCTTCTCGCAACAAGGCTTCCTCATTTTCCTCTCACAGGCCAGAGAGAGAGAGAGGGAGAGAGAGAGAGACAAAGAGAGATTTGGATAGGAGGAAGAGCAACGCTTGGTGTGCAATATAAGAGAGATTAAGCTGGTCAAACCATAAATGCTTGGACTGGCCGTTGAAGCAAAAAGTTAGAGGGAGACTTTAGAAGAACATGTAGAAGAGTAGAGAGAGAGAGTTGGTGAGGGGACTAAAGACTAATGTACTCAAAGTGAGTGCATGTCCGGGCATGCCACGTAGGCCTTTCTTCCTATATTTTGATACCAGCAGAGATGCTCTCTCTCAACAATGGCTGACAAGTGTTTATCTACAGGCCTCAAAGCAGGATGTGGAATATTATACAACATAGCCATAAGAGGGTATGCTTCCATTTTACCTGCTGCTGCAAAAGAACAAGTTTACCAAAGGCTTGATAAGAAATGGCGCAAATGATAACCATTCTGTTTTTTTATTTTTTTAATTTTTTGTTCTCCGAAACAGATTTGGAATAGAAATCCGTTTGGTAAATTCATTTTTTTATTTGTAGGATAAATTTTGGCCTAGAAATAGATTTGAAATAGAAACGAGAAGTTAAAATTTTCTACTTTTCTATTTCTAGAACAGAAATAGAAATAACAACTCTCTCTTATTGCTCACTCTTGCCGCCCATCGTTGCCCACCACTCACCCGCCGGCTGTCTGTTGTCGCCCCCTGCTACCCACCGGCCGTCTGCCGCCCGCCGCCTGTCGGCCGTCCATGGTCCACCCGCCGTCTGCCCACCTCCAGCCGTCTGCCGCTGTCCTCCACCGCTCGCCGACCGTCCTCAGCTGCCTGCCGCCGCCCCATCGGCCGTCCACTGCCACCCGCTGCCGCTCGCCAACCGTCGCCACCGCCACTTGTCCGCCACCCGCCCGCCACCGCCACTCGCCAGCCGACCGTCGGAAAAAGAAATTTAAGAATAACTTATCAAACGAATTTCTATTTCGAGAACAGAAATTTTGTGTCATTATCAAATGCTACTTTTTGCTTAGAAACTTGTCCGGGAAAGAGAAATAAAATTTTCTATTTCTAGCCAAAAATAGGGTCGGGGAAGAGAAATATTGTCATTCGCGCCCTAAGTGCGTGAATGATAATTATTCTGTTCCAAAAATAAATTTTTCTATTTTTATTTTTTGGATGAGTTTCGGAGCCAAAATATGCGTTTGATAACAAAACAAATTTATGTTCCCGAAATAGAAAGTCGTTTGATAATGACATAAAAATTTTCACTCCCAAGACCGGGGCGGCGGGCGATAGGAGGTGAACGATGGGCGGCAACGGACGGTGGCGGGAGGTGATCGGTGAGAGGCAGCCGACATTGGGTGACAGTGGAGGACAGCAGATGGTGACCGATGGCGAAGACCAAGAAATGGGTGACGAACAACGGGCGACGGTGATGGGTGGTGGATGGCGTCGGGTGGCAAAGTAGGACGGCAGAAGGCAGCGGCGATGGACGGCGGCAAGCGGCAAGCGGCGAGGGGCTAGTGGCGAGGGCAAGTAATGAGAAGAGTTTTCAATTCTCATTTTTATTTCAGAAAATAGAAAAGTGGACAATTTTTACTTCTTATTTCAGTTCCAGACCTATTTTTGAAATCAAAATTTGTTCTAGAAATAGAAAAAATGAAATTGCGTTACCAAATGGATTTCTGTTTCAAATTTATTCCTATGAATAGAAAAACAAAAAAATAGAGAAACAGAATTATTATCATACGCGCCTTAAATAACCTATAGGGTTTACACAAATACCTTGAAAGCTCATTTCTTTGGATCATGGGATTTAATAGCTAACTATGTTCCCAACTATTGCTTTTTAGTGTTATTGTGGATTACGGCATTTTGTAAGACCGATGACGACCACGTGACAATAAGCGATGACTTTTTAGGGATGGTCGATGAAACCTGTCGTTTTTTTTTTTTGGTCAGAGATGAAACCTGTCCTTGAAACTACTCTTTCGCGACTGCTCGGGCAACCTTTCTAATGAACAGCCATATTTAAAATCCACCCCAAGAACACAAATTTGTCCTAGGTACTTTTAGTCTATGCAATTTATGTTGTAGGAACTTTTTCTTGTATATAAAGTTCCTCTTCGTGGTGCATAGACATAGGAGTTGTTATTATCTACTTTTGATGTACCATACCAATAATTTTTTCACAATTTATATTAAGGTTGAAATTTAATCGTCTTTTTAATTACTAAATAAAACAGAATTTTTTGCTTTGTCAGGTGCCATTTCAAACAGATAAATCGATCCATTTTTAAGTGACTATAGTGAATTAGTTCCTCGAGGCATCATAGAAGCCCTAACCGTTGATCTAAATATTGCATTGAGACTTGTTTTTCACATCGACAGAATTGATAAAGTTATATCTCGTTTCCAAGATTTTCATCCCTTGTTGGTTGTGATGAAAAAGGCCTAAAACCATCCAACAATGGTATCGGAGTTCAGGTTACCAACAAGTCTGGCCTAACAATCACGCAAGAGATACGGGTTGTTGCCGCTCCAACCTATGGCTCGATGTGTGAGGGGAGATTATTAGGGTTTATTCCACATCGGTTTTGAAAGTGGCTGATAGTCAGTTTATAAGTATGAAAAAAAGTCTTACCTTTGGAGTTAGCTTTTGAGGTGAGAGAGGTCCAAAACCACCAAACAATGGTATCAGAACCCAAGTTACCAACAAGTCTAGACCCATCAGTCATGCGGGAGATACGGGTTGTTCCCGCTCCTACACAAGGCTCGATGTGTGAAGGGGATATTGTAGAGTTTATCCCACAATTGTTGTGGAATGGGGTGGATGAGACTTTCTCTCACACTTATAAACTAACCACTGTTGGCGTGTGGTTTATATTCCCCTCCGACAGAAAAGCACGAGGGTCCTGCTTCCCGGGTAAGCGGGTGGGGGTCCGCCCCGGCAGGGGTCGTAGGGGGTAGAGCCCCCGCGAAGTCAGTGGGCTTTTATATTTTGAACATGTATTTTATTGGTAGTTTGGGTTTGAGCCCATGAATAATTACTATTACCTTTATATATATTTCTTTTCTCTTGTAATTGAGAGATGTAACACAGAGGTGCGGGGTGCTAATTATAGTGAAATACTCTACTGGATGTAGCCCTAGTTTAAGGGTAAACCAGGACAAAAATCTTGTTTCTTGATTTTCTTTTCTCGATTTTACTCTCTATTTCTTTGTAATTGTGCGCCAAATCCTAAAAACCATCACCCCCTTCCGCAACGGTTATGGGAAAAACCCCAACAATCTCCCCTTCATATATCAGGCTTGGATCGAAACGGCAACAACCCATATCTCTCACGTGATTGTTGGGTCCTGACTTGCTGGTCATTTGGGCTTTAATACCAATGTTGGGTGGTCTTGGGCCTCTCTACCCCCAAAAGCTAACTCAACAGGTGAGCCTTTCTGATGCACTTAGATTGGCGAGCTTGGAATGGGTTGAAATTTGGTGTCGTTTAGATGGGTTTTCAGGCTTTTGGGTTTTAGGCAGTTTTCGTTAATTTAATGTTATTTTAATGGCGTCTTCGTAATTTTCGCGTTTCGTATTGTAATTAGGTTTAACATCATATAAAAGGATGTTTAGGGTTTCATTATAAGCGGAATTTTGGAAGATTTGAATTCCTTATAATCACACTTGAGAGGACGAATTGTTCCTCTATCAAATATTCCTATTTAGTCAATTTTCTATTGCGATTTGGCATCACTTTCCCTTGCACTTATAAACTGACCATTAGCCCTCTCCACAACCAATATGGGATAAACCAAAACAATTTTACATAAAGACGAGTGGCAAAATATGTTGAGATTTCTAACAACCTTTCATTCACCGATTTAGCATCATGGAATTATGATGATCCATCATGAACTGCTTTGCAAACCCTAAATCACCCTCAAACATTATTGGTGTATTTAATGAAAGGATCACGATCCCACAAGGGTAACCTAACTCCAAAAACCCGTTCTTGGCTTAAGTTAAACATAACATATACATAGAGAGAGATATGACTCGTTAGGGTTTGAGAGTTGATTAGGTGTCTTTAATTAGGACACATGAAATAGACAAATGCTAGTGCCCCATAAGAGAGGCAAGTGATTGTAATAACAATTGAGATAGATGATTCTCATCCGAGCAACCTAATAATTAAATTTTTTAAGAAGAGACTCTTTTTTTTACAACTCGACTCGGCTCAACTCATGGTCGTATCATGAAATTGGACTCTACCTGTAAAATGGTACCTCGAAGGAAGTTAGAATTCACAAACCCTAACTAAACTTATTGCAGCGTTCGAATTACGTTGGGTTGTTTGCGACTTTCAGTTGGGTAGCCTGAAAATGTAATCTTCCATTCTGCACACACCAAGCAGATTCTAGATTTCCCACTTAGATATTTAGACTATTATTAAAACACGCATACATACAAATTACTAAAATAATGGGCGATTAAAATATTTGGTGAATCAACCCCAAGAAACCAGAACTTGGGGGAAGATACTAGGGTTGGGTTTCCAGTTGCGATTCCTACCAAGCAGAATCATCAGATGTTGGTGGAGTGAATCACATGTTCTCTCACGTTGACTGTTAGATCGGAAGCAAGTTCTTCACAACTGAAAACAGAGGAAGATAAGCCGATGGTGCACACGTGTAAGAAGCAACTACAGTTTGATTTTCTATTGGGACTTCAAATACGAGACAAAAGGGGTAGTTTAATGTGCCGACAGATTGGGATTTGTCCGGTCTCGGGTGCAGCTAAGCAATGCAGTCGTGCCAGGTGTCTCTGAATGGATGGTCAAACTGAATTTCCAAGGGGCAAGTAGGAAAGTAAGCATCAAGAAAAGTCAACAGAAAGTCAAGGCAAAGATTCACAAAAGACCCTCCTCGGCCCTCAGGTCCAATCTTGCAAATGCACGAGCAGGAAGGAGAAAGATGCCCGAAAGAGGATGGTTCTCAGAGACTTGCAAATGCCCGACATTCTTATATCAATGAATGAAAATGGATACAAGCATGCTGCAAATACTTGACAT